CCATGAGTCAGGGCCTGGTGGAGAGGAGCACTGTGCTCAGAGCAGGCTCATGCTGGTGCTGTGCCGCGGGGTCTGGCTAGTTGACCTACAAGTAGAGGCTTTTCTCATCCTACTTCTGGCACCCTGGCATGCCGTTGTCCATCTTCTCATCATCCGTCTGCATCTGCAAAGAGACAAAAGCTTTGCTTGGGCTTCTGGGAGCTGATGCCTCCCTTGGTGAGAGATGGGGATCTACAGGCTTGACTCCAAGTACTGAACCCCAAGAAAGCCCAGTGAAGAACCATCTGTCTGTGCCCCTTGCTCCAGGGTTACGTGTCTCATCCTGGGGTCTTGCCCACCTCCATGAGCACCAACTCACCCTGGATGGTGAAATAGATGGTCTTGGAGGTGTCCACACTGGGGGTTGGTGACATCTTTGTGTTGTCTTGCTGTGCATTCGAGAAACTCTGCAGGTGCTCCTGGGGAAAAGATTTTAAAAAGTATTTCCATGGCTCAGAGCTGGCAAATGGATCTCAAAGCCTGGGTGAGCCAAAGAAGCCAAGTTTGGTGGGGTTGGGGGCAGAGACTCTGGTAATGCACCAAGAAGTGTAGGCAGGTGGCCGTGGCTGCTCTTGGGCAAGCCCCAGTGCTGGCATGTCCCCCTTCAAGTTCCCAAGAGGATCTAACAGACAAACCCTGGGGTTGTCCGTCCAGCTGCCGTCCTTCCTCCCTGTCCCAGCCACGTGGCTCCCAGACCATCCCCGTCCTGTGCAGCTGCATAGCCAGGTCCAGCCACGTACCTGGAGGATGGGGATGAACCTGCACGCACTTACCTGCTGGGAAGGGCCAACTTGGGCGTACACCGTCATGTACTCTGCTCTGGCCCCTGCAAGGAGAAACAAGTGGAAGGTCATCAAGGGAGCAGGCTGCCGCAGCCGGGAAGAGGCAAGGATCTCTTTGCAACACTGAGATGCTCCTCAACAAGGGCTGGAGGGAATCCTGGCTTAAAATGTGCTAGTCTTAGGTGAAAGCCCGGCCAGCCCCTTGGAGCTGCTGGAGGTGTTTGCTGTGGGTCTGGGTTGAGGTGAGCATCACTTCTCATCCCACTGTCCCTCCTGCCCCAGCTGCTGCGGGAGCGGGGCACCTGCTTCCAGCTCAAACGACAGCAGTTGAAGGGACTTGCTAGTGAAAAATCAGCTTTTTTTAATTTAAATACAAGATCTCCGGCTGCTTTCGGAGGACGATACGCATTTGTCTCTCCTTCATACGTTGCCACCATTGCAGCAAACATTACCATCAGCTCATTCTTTGGCTCATTGAACAGAGTGGGGAGAGAGGATTTAAATCCTTCATTACCCCTTTTTTGGGTCGAAATTTCAATGCCTCTCATTTGAAGTGCTGCTGGCAGCCCCACAGAGGAACAGCCACTCAGGCTTCAGCCTGGGCACAGAGCAGCGCTTCAGGGAGAGGTTTTGCCAATGGAAGAGCTGGACCCAAATTACTGGACAGGAGGAGCCCATGGTCCTGGTGATCAGTGTGCCCTGACATCCTGCTTGGGCACACACAAACGCAAAATGCAAGGCAGGAACTCTCCTGTTCATGTCAGCTTTATTTCAGCTTACAGAAACAACAAAACACACATACAAAAAGAAAGTCAGCAAGATCCTTGCTGGGCATTGGCTCAGTTGTAGCAGTGATAGGAATGGCATGGCCCATCAAAAAATGTCCCTGAACATCAGGGAGAGGATATGGAAACTGGTCCAGGGGTGTCTTCTTCCACCATGTTTCTCGTCTGGACTCGCACCCTGAACCCCTGAGTCTAGCGAAGCTGATCCTGAAGTGATGCCAAGGGCATGCTTCAGTCTCTGCAGCTGCCATCGTGCTGCTCCACCTTGCCCAGGAGCCTCTGATCTCTGCCCCCAAGAGCTAGGGAAACCAGGCAGTGGCTATTTCAAGCAGCAATTGCAGTCAGTGGTTGCTCAAGCGGGTGTGCTGCTGCAGGGAGGTTGTTTCTGGACATGGGGCACGCGACTCCTCATTGTTTGTCTCTGCTCCCCCAGTTGTCTCTTGCCAGCTCTTTTCATTTCCCCCAAATCCCTCTTGCTTTGGTGATCTCATGGCTGCGCTCCCAGCTCCTTCTTGGTGGGCTGGCACGAAGTTTTCCAGAAAAAGACTAGGGGAGAGCATGGCTTCAGCCACCACAACATCACCTGGGATCATCCCCTTTCACTCGCCTCTGTGCATGCAGGGTGGGGGCATGGGGAGGCATTGGGATCCCACGAGCCATGGTACCCTCTAGTACCAAGCCACGGCAGTGGATGATTTCCCTCCTGATCTTAAATGCGACCAGGCTATTCCCACCAGGAAAAAAGAGGAGGGAGAGAAATGCCTGTGGGAGCCCCAAAGTCCTACCTGTGTTCATAGCCTCAGCTGCAGGCAAACAGAAGATCCTCTGGCCTGGGGGAGAAGCGACATGGGGCTCCCGTCAGCAGCAGCAACCAAAGTAAACCCTGAGCAGCATCCTCAGCTTTGGCTGCCGCAGCCTCCCAGGTACCTGGGTCCCCTCTCAGGTCCCATCTCCTGCTTGTGTCTGCAGGGACAGTTACCTGCGGGGGAAGCAGCTCACCTTTGCATTTACGGTAGATCACGAAGATAACCACTGCTAAAAGCACTCCGACTACGATCACCGATATGGCCACTATTCCAGCCTGCCTGATGGAGTAGGTGCCTTGAAAGAGAAGAAGGTCCGGTAACAACATCCCAAAACATACCTGCCTTTCCCTGGCATCAGACTGGGGAGAAATGGGCACGTCTCTGCTTCAACACCCCGCTGAGCCCTTCCCTGCTTCGCAGGGACCCTTATTGCACGATAACACAGTCCAACACAGAAAGGAGGCAACATGCTGCACGAGGACGAGTGGCTTTGCAGAGAGAGCAGTGGCTGGGAGACTTCTGCCCCAAACCCCCTGTGGTCCCCCCCGCTGATGTTCCTTTGCATTCCAGGAACCTCATTCATTGTTTTTTTTTTTTTTGTGGGGGGGAACCCCCACCTGGGCTGGAGGCAGCAGTTGTACACAGAGCCATGGTCCCACCTCCAGCCCATCCTTGGCTCTGCCTCTCCTTTGCACAAATTGATTTGACGCTCCCATCCCAAGGTGGGACTTTTTAGGGGACAAACTAGAAACGTGGACCCACCTCCCCTCCCCAAATTCCCCAGGCGACAAAGACATGGATGCTAAAAGCACTGTCCACAAAGCGTGGATAACCCCCGCGAGCTGTTTTGGGAGGAGACAAACTGTGCTGGCCCATCTGTGCTCCCCCATCTCCAGGCATGGTGGTCCGGCATGGCCAGACACTGCTAGCTAGCTCGGGCACACTCAGACATTTAAGAGCAAGACTGGACATGGATGGCTGGTTTGGCAGCTCACCAGTGGTGGGACAGTGTGTTGTGTTTTCTGACGGCACGGGCAGCACGGTGAAGGGAGACAACAGGGAGAGAGGTAAATGCCTCTGCCGAGGATCCGCGTTTCTGTCTTTGCACGCCGAGGCACAGCTCAAGGGAAAGCTGGAGCCACTGAGAGCAGAATACGGCCCATCCCCACTGCCCACGCATCTTACCGTGGCTGTTACCTGCACAGAGGGCAGCAGGCGAGATGATTGTGATGTTGCGGCTGCTGATGGGGTTTCGCACCGTGCACGTGAGCAGCAGTAGCTTGTCCTGGGGCAACTCCTCTAGCAGCACCATGGGCCCCTTGCTCCATGTCTGGTCCCCCGTGCTCCAGTCGTAGGAGACGTTGCCGAAGTCAGAGCCAGAGCCCGAGACAGTGCAGTGCAGGGTGTAGCTGCAGCCATCGGCTGAGCAGTTCTGCGTCACGCAGGTCACCGTTGGCACCACCAGCTCCCCTATGGGAAGCAGGGGGCTGTCAGGAAATCTCCAACCCCCCATTAAAAAACCAAAACCCAAATGCCAATACTAGAAGGCACTTACTGTACATGTGTAGGGTGTGTAGGTACAAGGTGTTTTTTCCCCCTGAGATCTTTGCAGTGTAGGTACCAGCATCATCCATCCTCAGCTGGATGATGGTGAGCGCCCTGCCATTCTCAGTAAAGGCCAAGCGTGTCTTGTAGTTGTCATCAAAAAAGATGACTTCAGGAGGATTGCCGAATATCACGGTTGCTATGACATTGTTGTGAAAGCTCCAGGCTGCGGCTTGTCCATCCAGGCTCTGGAGGCGAAAGGTGACAGAACTGCCCGCGGCCCTGGTCACCTCTGCCCCGTCATCAATGCACGCTGGGGAGAGAAGCTGGGATGAAGGCAGCACGCCCAGGGAGAGGATGCACAGCGAGCTTGGGGTCTGGCTGGTGGAGAACGCGGGAGGGCTCGGGGAAGGGTCCTTGGCTGAAAGAACCACCTCAACCAAAAAGAAGAGCTTTGTCCCGCTGCGGTCATACAGCATGATGCCATGGACAGGCTGATCTATAGTGGCCAGAGCCCCTCGTGTTATCGCACACAGTATCTCTGTTCAGCTGTGGGTAAAGCCATAGAATCATAGAACAGTTTGGCTTGCAAGGGACCTTTAAAGAGACCTTTGAGGTGCAAAATTAAAGTGCAAGGAGGAGTTTGCAATGGCTCAGAAAGTTCAGGAAAGTTTCATTTCATCGCCACACTGAAAGGTCAAGCTCACCTACACGAGCAGGCAAGAAAATGGGTGGCCCCTTTCCCAGATGTGCAGCTACTTCTGCCCTCTTCTGAGAAGGAAGCAGACACTTCCCTCTTATTTTAACTACTTCCCATTCTACAAATCAGTGCTTCCCAGTCTGGTCTGGGGATGGATGTTTTTTCCTCAGTTTCTGGAAAGGGAACTGATCCTGGCTCAGCCAGACAGGCAGACCCCGAGGCTGTCACATCTCCTCAGGGCTCTGCATTTCTGGTGCCCCCTGCCTCACCCTGCAGGGACACCTCTGGAACGTCGAGAACAGGCATCTCTGACCGCATGGAAGGAAAAACTGGTCGGGGAGATAAACTTGAAGTAGTAAATTCTGCCGAAACAGCAGGCAAGGGTGCTGGAGGGCTCATCTAGCAGTAAAACCCTCTTCAAGGCTGCGGGGAGAGGACCTGGGCAGACCCAGCATCTCTGCCCATTTTGCCTTGCCTGAAAAGAGGCAGAAAGTGTCCCCTGTTCCAAAGAGCCCTAAATACCCCACAAAAAAAACCCAAACACAGGAGCACAGAAAACTCAGAGAAAACACGCGGAGGAGCAGACCCTGAACGCAGAGCAGAACAGCAAACTCAGTGGCCTGTGCACATCTGGCAGCAGCTGGATGGAGGCTAGGCGAGAGCTGAGACCTGATGCATTCACTCATTAGCAGAGGAGGACCACACGAGAGTGAGACACCAACACCGGGTTGTGCTAGGCATCTTTCACTCTGATTTGCCCAACATCCTTGGGACAAACTCCATTCCCGCGGAGCTGCACTGCTGGTCCCACACGTGCCAACCCTGTCCCCGCTCTCCCAGGAGTCCTGAAACACTCCCTGAGCCCTTTGTGGGCTCCTTCCCTTCCACCGCCAAGGGAAAACGAGCATCTTGCACTTACTTGCTTGGTGGAGAAGGAGGAGGGTGACCAGCAGGCACCAAAACGCATCCATCAACCTCCGGTGCGCAGAGAGGGCCTCTCCACACCCAGCATCTGCTACAGTTTATGGTGACAACAGGAAGATACAAGCACCTGCATATAGTCATGACTGGATGGGTGGTGATAAATATTTCATCCAATCACTGCCATCAAGTGGTGTGACTGGGCTCAGAAAAGTATGACAGAAAGGAACATTCCATGTGCGTAATAAAAAAATTAACCTGAAAAACTCTAACCAAAGATGAGTGTGGCAGCTAGGATAGAGTGTTATCATAGTCATGTGTGACAAGTGTCTCAGCTCCTCTATGGGAATCAGCCCTAAGAGAGGGGTATCGTGAAGACCATCGCAGGTCAGCACCCAGGAGCACACTGGTGCCCACGGACCGGTGCCACCAGGACATCTGTGTTGGTTTTG